CTTGAAATTTGGACAGAAAATTCATATTTGCCTTTTATATGCGCAGTAAAGTGTTAATGTCATTTTGAGTTAATTTTATTAATTTAAATTTTACAGGGGTTTTTACGTAATTTTTGTTCGGTAGGTATTCTGCGGATAAAATTGTTATACCAAACAGAAATGCTAGAAAATTTAACGGGAGGTTCATTATAAGTCGTACTTTGTTGTGAAAAAAAAAATGTAGGAAATGTATTATTTTCAAATAGTAAATTGTACGTCCATTTAAAACATGTATAACCGAACTTTTTTTAACCGAACCGAATATTTTTTATAAAAATTATTAGTAACAAATTTTGAAAAAAATCATAAAATAATTATTTTGGTCTTTCAAAACAAATGTAACAGAACTCAGTCGAATGGTTTTTTGTTAGCAAAGATTAACCGTTGTGTACAGATATGTATTAAATTCCTCTCTATATCCTACCTTCCCAACTTCTCGTTCTAACCTACAGCAGAGGCCCACTATCGTGCGATATATGTCCGTATCTTTTTCTGTATTGTCATATTGTTTCAATGCTATTATATTAAAACTCTTCTGAATATTATCGATTCTGTTATTCTCCGCCTATAACATATTTTTAAATAGATTAACGTGCGTTATTTATTAATGTATTTTTCGTTTTAAACAACAGACGCCTCACGCGATTATTGCACTGACAATTATTAAAAATTTAAAGAATGTTATCAGTGGCGCATTTAGAGATGATCAGTTGTAGGGCGATTTAATGAGTTATAATAATCACGGATAAACCATACGTAACCATTTCTTCTATACGTAACCCACACGACATTGGGAATTTAAGAGCCGGTTCCAAAAGAGGCCGATTTCTCTGTTGTCGTATGGTCAATAAAATCAAACTAAGTGTCATTTTGGTGAAATATATAAAATTATTTCGAAATTTTAACCGCTAAATAAATACTCGTGTATAGTTGTCAGTTTTTCAAAAATGGAAGGAGATATCTAACCCTCTCCCCCTTGCGTGTGCCGATGAATGCATTATGTACGATATTATAATTTTTTATAGTGAAAATTATATTATAAATTATATTATATTATCGAAGCCCGTGAAATCCCCAACGAACGGCTCGAAATGTACCTAAATTTAAAAAAAATAAAATAAATAGAAAAATGAGTACAGTAACGATCACATGATTTTATCATGCGTGGGAATAAAGATAAGAAGTATTAAGAACTATTATTATGTAAATATTTTTTTAAAAACTGTAGAGATATAATATGATACACAAATTAATTTTTAAATATGCTCACCCCATTTTTTCAGTTAAATTATGTATAAATTCAAATTCAGATTTTAAAATTCCGAAATTTGTGTCGTGTTGAAATCGAAATTTGAATAAAAAGTTTCTATGTTGTTCTGCTTTAAATATTAAGGATAATAACCTTTTGTGAGAATTGGATACTGTTCATTTCATAGGAGTCATGTATAAGCAATTTTTTATTTTTAATCATTTAGTATCCATTAGTATTTAAAGTAAAATAACTCAGAAACTTTTCTTTTAAATCTAGATTAAAATACGCCATCATTTTTAAAAAAAATCGTCCGATTGATAATTTATATAAAAACATGGAAGTTCTCATTTAAAAAACCAAACTTTTTTTTTGTCACAGGATTAAATGTGAAAAATCTAAGTATTTAAAAATATTGTTTTTTCACTTTACTTAAACATTTCAAAAATCTGAATTTGAATTTATGCATAATTTAACCATAAACATGGGGTGAACATAATTAGAAAAATAAACACCCTGTATATTATTATAAAATTTAAGAAGAAATTAGGTGATGGGGGATGTATCCCTCACATACCTAACCTAACCTCTCCCCTCGTTTTGACCGCATCTGTATTACTAATATTATGTGGGTACCTACTTAATAAAAAATTGTTTCAGACGAAATTACAATGTTACAAATCTTATTTAGTCTGTTTTTTTCCTCTTTTCTTTCTTTTGAACGACTGCTATAATAATAATATAAATTCTTTGTATGTATCTATTATGTTATATTATATTATTATTGATTAGTATAATCACAGCAGCTATATTATAGAACGAGCGATAACGCGTTTTATATATTATTATTTTGATAACGCACGCGTCTCTATAATATACGCGTTTATTTGTATTTAATAAATAAAATTATAAAAATTACTGTATATAGTTGGGTTCTAGCAATTATTATTGTTGTGTGCAGTCGCGTATTATTATTATACTAACCGACTTTAGATTACCTATACTTATTGTTATTAATTTTTTTTTTTTTAATTGGTTTTACGGCGAAGTTATTTTTTCCGGCCGAACCGCATTCGTCGCATTGTTTCATACAATTAAAAAAATTATATACATTTATAATTATAGTAGGTATGTCGATTTCAAACTGTAATAAAAATAAACTCTTATATTAGGCATGTAACTAAAATATCGTTGGATTTTGTACTTGCGTACTCATACCTATAATATTTTGTATGTATAATAGGTGTTAATAGATCAATCGTATTTGCGCGTGTTTTTAACCAAAAGATGTAGAAAAAAAAAAGTAAAAATTGCCATTATATCAATAATTAGACAAATGAAATGCAGCATGCCTGACCTAATAATATTATGCTCGAACGTACGTATATGTAAATCTTATACAAATATTATCTCTAAAACAACTGTAGGCTTTAGACTGTACCTCTAATACGAAAGAGTTACGCGGGACACAAAAGAGATACACGAACAAATCAAACTATCCCCACACGTATTACATCTAAGTATTAATAATAAGTGTACTAAGTAATATTGCAAACATTTCGCTTATTTTTCGTAATATTCAGTATGAAATTATTTCCAAAATAAGATGTAGAGGTAGTAGGTACCTATATTGTGCTTATTATTAATAAATTTCGAAAATATTTCAAATAATATCATAATAATATACTAAATTAAACCGATTTCATAACATAATTATTAACCGATTTAAACTCAAACTTAATTACTCGTCATCCTGTATAATATAGTCATTATATCCTAGTTATATTTACATTTTTTTATAAAAAGAAAAGTTTTTTCTTTATCTTTTATTGGTCCTGAACAATTTTAAAAGCGCAATTATATATCCAAGGTGATAGCTCCAAGCTATATTTTAGAGGTCATCATTTGAGATTTTCAAATTTGTATTATTATATATATATTATAAATAAATATACCAAAATCATAAGTACCACTAATCGAAAAACCGTAAATGTGTTTCTCGAGAAAGAAAAAGTAAAACCAAAACGACGAAGAATTCGAAAATCTGCTACCTACTGTTATAATAATAATCGATTCAAATACATCAAGACGATGACGTGTTTTATCGCAAAAAAAATTATTAGATAAGTAGGTACATATGTATATAGGAGAAATATATAGAATAAATAATATTGTTTGCTGCGGGATTAAAGTTTAATTATTATTGTGTCTATATTATCATCTCATAGTCAAGCGATTATTTTAATATATTATATACCATTCCGCATTCGTATCCATCGCATTTTGACCCCATCGACGATAAAAAGAAAGAGAAAAAAAACATAAAACGATATACATAATAATATATAATATTTTTAAACCGTTATAGGCCACTTACAGTGACTTTTGCCGTCTCTTTCTTTCTATATTATAACGAATAAAGTAGCAAAAATTAAACAATGACCAAACGACCTTTAAAATCAATTTTAGAGATAAAACATATAAAATATGTACGGACGATTAAAGTACGAAGACAACCCGACCGGTACACAGTGGGGCTTTTAAAATTGGCATCAAATCATAAAGTCAAAAAATGTCTTTCTAAAATAAATATTTTTCTATTTTATCATTTCTCAGACATATTAAAAGTTATTAACATATGATATTTTCTTTTTTTAAAAAAGATATTTTTATAGAAAGAATCTATTTATTTTATTAATGAAATAAGTAAATGTTTAATTTAAAGTTTTAATTTTTTAAAATAGTCTTAGTTGTCATCCTCTTTGTTATCAGTATTATCATCATCATCATCATCAACATCATTATCATCGTCATCATCAACATCATCATAATCATCATAATGCTTGAAAAACAAATATAATAGAATCATTCAAACAGTTTTTATTTTCTTTATTGAATCGTTCTTCCACTCGGTGCAGTGTGCCTTTTCCCAACAAGATTTATGTTTAGATTTGAAATAGGATAACTTTTTATTTAAATCATTCTGATCACAATTTTTACTCGTTTTTCAATCTCCTTATTTTATACGACTGAACTGTTCACTAATTGTTTCATATCCAGAACATTTTATCATATACCATATACTTCTAGTCGTGTTATTAACATATTGTTCAAACTAATTGCTACAAAAAAGATATAAACCAATTATGACGTTTGTTTTCGTCAATATAATATTTTTACAAGTGTAAAAATTAGACACTAATCTAGTGTACTTAAAACGACCGAGACCTATTGATAGCGATAATGATATACAGATATGACATAGATACTTACCTTTTTTTTTAGTAGACAGTAATAAGAGATCTATTTTCCCAATATTTACTACTGCCATAATTTATTAAGAATAGGCAATGGCAGACATACAATATGGTTAGAAATAATACACACGTTGGAGAGTGTTAGACGTATCCTACTGTACCCTTTAACATAAGAAGCTTAACTTAACTTAACTTGACAAATTTAAACTTAACTACTGTGCATGTACCAAGTCTTCCCAGCCCGGTTGATAAACCCATCCACTTTGAAGCCCGTTCTGTCCATGCTTCCGTCGGTTGACGGAATCCAATAGTTTAGAATCTCGTTCAGGAGTACCTCTTCGCAACCCAGTTAACGGAACCCTCCAGTCTGGAGTCACGTTCGGGAGATTCTTTACGACGTAGCAAAGCAGAAGCCGTTGACAGGACGCATTGTATATGTGGCCCCACCTGTTTCGCTAAGCAGCAATCACGATGTCATGCTCAATTCTTCGGATCAACATAGTCGACTCTGACCTGTCCGGATCATCTATCTTCGAAGCATTAGTGATGACAACGGCTGTTGATGTAGCATGGAATTGCGACAGATCACGTACTTGGTTGCTTTGTCGGCCCACGTGGAAATGGCATACATAAACTAAGCTACTGACCACGGACATCAGAAAAACCCTCTTGGACTGGGTAGATTCTCCAAGGTTAGCTATAAGACATCCAATAACCAATAGGTCCAATAGGTTTGGAATACCTTGCCGGACACTGTATGGAGATAGCCGCTGAAGGTGAGGTGGGAGTCTAGATTAATTTCTAGGTACCATAACCTCCTTTTGAATGGAACCACATGATACTTTCTACATATTTTTCAGTTTTGTTCAATTATTAAACTAATCTCTTAGTTACCAACTAGAAATAATTTAATGAATAAAATCAATATTTCTATTCAACAAAAAAGATCTTTTGTTTATTTTTCTACTGGCGCAAAATGTATGGTAGAAAATATAGTGAACAAAAATTAAAAACAAAAACAACCTAACCTAAAATTTTCTTTCCAAATTATTTTTACAACCTCTTGAAAAATCAAAACATGTAGAAAAATTGCTACACTCTACTCAACGGAGCAAGATTTCTTTTCGAAAAGTTTTTTAAACAGAAAAAAAATTACACATCAATACATCGTAGTATAACCAATACGCTCCGAATATCTAATAAACAGAAGTAAATATGTTCTAACAACTGTAAAAATTTAAAATAAACAGTCCATCTGACTATCTGCCGGTCTATTATTGGGTTAAAATAGGATGGGCTTGGTAACATGAATGAAAAAATAAACAAAAAAAACTATATGGATAAAAAATTATTATTTGAGTAATAATAATAAAAAATGATAGTACAATATTAAAATAGACTGTTTTACATTTGTTAATGATAATATTTATTTATTGAAAATTGTATGCTACGCAGTCTGTAGTATTATAGTACTAACTACAAAAACTTAAAATACAATCGTCATTAGATCACATAAGTCACAAAATATCAAATTATCAAATTACAGTATATTTCATAAAATGTTTAAAGATAAATGAAATATGTGAATGAGTAATGCAAGTAGTAAAAACAATAAAGTATTATTATTACCTACATAGGCGTGCGCACGCCTATGGGTACCTAGGTATTCAAAAATAAAGCGTTTGAAAATGACATTGGTATATACTATACATATGTATACATATATGTATGCACAATACACATACCTATTGCATTTTTTTAAAAAAATTGTTGGCTTTTATGTATTTAAATATATTCTAGAAGCCTTTGTATTTGTAAGTTATTCTTTTTAGATTCTTAGTGGAGCGAGGAATGTATTGGTTTTAAAATAATGATGTTTACTAATTTTTTTTTATATGAATACTTTTTCTACTAAAAATCTCACTCTGATTATTAAACATAATGTAAAACATAAACATAAACTTTTTTTGAAATGAAATGTTCTTTGGGTGGCACTTTAAAGAGATCATTTATTAAAATTCTCATTAATATTCGAGATAATGAAAAAAAAAACATGGTTTTTTAAGTTAAAAAAATATTAAAAGATTAAAAAACGGTTGTCATTGGCAACGGTTTTTATTTATTTATTTATTTATTGTAGTTATTAAGTTTTTATTGTTTTATAAATCTTTTTTAAACATTGTTGTCATAGAAACGCACATTATTATAATCATTTTACCATAATATGACATACATAAATTGTTGACAAAGCAACACCATCAACGGAACTTCGCTCAGAATCAGATTTTCGTTAGCAATGGTTTATTGTTGCTTACAGATAGACATTAAATTCCCGTCTATATTTTACCTTCCCAACTTCAACAAGAATGTCCGTATTTTTTCTTAAATGTATTTGGAAAGTATTTACTTATTTTTACAATACCGTGTTTGTATCTTTTTACAAGACTACTGTATAGTAATTACAATTTTATTCGAAGAGAATAAATAAAAATGAAAAATAATGTGTGGGTCGATGATGTTTGAAAATTAATAACTACCGAATAAATCGGATTTTAGTCGAAAGTAAGTAGTTATCTTAGATAATTGCTAATTTGTGGATGAAATAAGCACACTGTATAACGAAATCTTTTATCGATATTGCTTCTTTCGGTTTATGTACATAAATTATTTGTGTGCTGCATAGATTTATACATTGAGCAATAATAATATTATTACGTGACATGTATAACTGTGCACAGCAGTGGTTTATTTGATATGGTTTTTTTTTTTCAGTTTCGTGTAGACCGTGGCAAATAGCATAGGTATAGATTTACCTATTATATTATGATCATCATTATTATTGTAAACGAAAAAACATGTAATTCTTCGCGTTATCGGTTATATGTATTAGTTACTGCTGTTGTTTTTTTTTTTGATTGCTCGTAAATCGTTACGTGTATGTATCATTACTAATATACGAATCAACATTTTCAGAAAAATGTTATTACAAAAAATTGGGTGGGGGGGTGGCTATGATTTTCTGAACAAATCACAGGGAAATTATTATCAAAATTGTAAAACCATATAGTAAAGATACAAAAATTGTCGAAAAAATCGGTTCACAAAAGTATTATTTTTAAATTTTCCAAATATTTCATATTTTTGTTCCACGATTCTGAGAGGAAACCATTTTTTTCGGAAATGTTCAGGTAATTTTGATACGAATATGTGAGTAGGTATTTATATAATTTTTAGTCTCATTTTGAATACTCAGTGTTTTAAGTGTTCTCAGATATATCCAAAGTGTTCAATAGATAAAAAGGTGCGAGTTAAAACTAAAAATTATTTCATATAACATCCTTATATCAATTGAATATCTCCATATACATGCATATGCGTGCACGTGGGTATGCAGGATATGCAGCTGCATACTCTGAACACCAGGCTTGGATTAAGGGGCTGCATCCGTGGGGTCCACAAATATTATATTATGAGTTGAATTAAATATTTGCAAAATATGTACTTTTTGTGTTGTAATTCAATTTGAATTTTTAGTAAAAATTACATTTTTAATTCAACAGTTGGTAAGACATTTCAATATTTGTGTATATTTTTTTTTCAGATATTTTTAAAAAACTTTCATGGCCGCTAATAGCAGCCTTTTGTATGCCCCAAAAAAGAGGCTTCGCACGTCTATATATGTATATATGTATGTGTAATATGTCTTTACTGCATCCAGTGGTCTTTGAAAAGCGGTTACTTTTCGATTTCTTTGTTATTTAGAGGCGGATGGGTGCTCAATATGAAAATAATCAAATATTATTATTCATTTTCTATGATTTTAGCGAAAACCGTTAAAAATATTAAGATATATATTGGTAACATTGGGAAACATTTGGTAAACCTATTACTGCGTAATGCGTGTAGATTATAGGTTGCTTTTGGGTTATTTTATGTACGTTTATGTCACTGTAAATAATTACATACACAATACGCCAAAACAAATCGATTCATGGAATCATATAAAGATTTAAAAAAAATAAATAAATAAATAAATAACAATAATGTCAGTTGAGCCTTTTATGCTGATCCCTTCAATCTAAAAGTTTTTAAATCGCTGACGCCGCCCTGTCGCCGCCGTGCTCGCGGAATTCGGAATAATCGGTTAACTATAAAGGTTTAAAGGTCAGCTGTAATAATAATATTATATTAAAAAATTATACTTGTAGAAACTTTGTGAAAATGATACATTAGATTAAAACCGTTCCGAAGAAGAGGCCCACCGCAATCGCATGCAGTCTCACGCGGTGCGATCACAATAATAATATTCGTCTAATGCGAGTATTATATTATTTTATAGCGTAAAAATATGGAGAGTTATTTGACCTATTTTTCTTTTTTTCTTTTACTATTATACATTTTTTATTCAAGTTAACCTTATTTTTTATCGACAGTAATTAAATTCCGAGAACCGTATTATATAGGCACATATAACATATATTGTATATATAGGTATGTTCAAGAAAATATTATTTCAGTAAGTACTAATATGGGTTCAAATCGTTTACGCGATGCAATATACTCGATGTTATCATAATATCCGGGGTTCGTCGTGTTGGGCCACAGCAAATAGGCCAACACTGAAGTCGACAAAAACAAGTCTAGAGCAGAGTATTGTCCTTTTTTCATTTTAATATTATAATACTTCGTGTTATCGTATTTGTAGAGCTAGTACATAAATAAAGATAATATAGTTATAATAATACAATAAACATGGTTCGACTATATTATATTATATTATGATAACAAGAATTTAATATCGATGATAACGGAATATTTTGTTATAATAAATCATAATTATTATCGTTTGTATTTAATATGGTTTTTAATTATATACCTATTTTTAATAATAATAATAATTCTTCTTAGGATTTAAACGAGGTTTCGTCATGATGATCCCAATATAATTGAATATTATAATAATAATGGACCGCAGTGTAACAATATTGTATCGTTCAATTTAATAGTTTCATTCATCATAATATTATTATTACCTACTATTATTGTATTGTATATATTATATACATCTCGTTTTAGTTGTCTCGTTTCGTACACCATATCTAATGCGGAATGGATAGAAAATCGGAAGAGAAAGAATCGTTATTTGTATTTGTTAATGAATTGTACCTATGTTTTGTTTATTACATATCTCGATGTATAGTAACAATTAACGTAATCACATCCGGAATTCGAGAAGGAACGTATCTAATATCTATAGGGCTAAAGCCTTCTAATTTTTTCATATTTGTCAAGAAAGGGCGCAGAATAATGTGAGTGATGAGCTACATAACACAAGCAGGTTATACTTAAAATTGTATTTCCCATATCTTATAGTTATTAATATTATAAATAAATTCATAATAAATGTATATAGTAGACATATTAATAGCATAAATGTACTTACAGATTTGAACAATTTTAATAGTAAAGAAAATATAATGATATACATATAAGTAAATAAAACATACGACCGTAACAAACAACAATGTGTATCAATAGAGATAAATAATATTAATATTATCGATTAGAAAAACGGGGTTAACCGAGTGCATCCCGAAATGACCAGTTTTCAATGACTTGATTGCGTCTGAAATAAGGTATCACTAGGATGAGTACCAATAAAAATAGATAATTTTTTCTATGTAGTCAGAATGCATCCCAATTCATTGAGTTACCTGAGGTGCACCACGAGGAGGTGAACTGGCTTACACCCCAAAAATATTTTTCCCTATTATTAAAAAAAAATAAGAATACCTATTAAAAAAAAAGTCAAAATATGACCTTCCAATGCAACAACTTGATGCAATTTCATGTGGATAAAATAACATATTTCACTCCATAATAAAAATGCTTAAATTTGTAAGGCAAAAAACGTGGACAATTTTGTAGTTAAAAATTAAAAAAATTTTTAATTAAAGTTTATATATACATGATGATAAACTGAACATCACTCAGATTCGTTTTTCATAAGCAATTATATTTTATCATTGCGCACAAATTAAAAAATAATTAACATGATTTGGCTGACTATACGATTTGTTTCAAAATGCCAAATTATCATTTAAATCAATAAGGAGCTAGGTGGCGTACCTGGGTTTTTTAATGTGGGTATAGAGGCGGAGTTGCAGTGATATTGTTTTTTGTTTTAATTTTATATAAAACCATTTCGGTAAAATAAAACAATTACCGTTTTGAAAAATGGATTGGAGGAGAGAAGTGGAGTTTCATTTATGTAGCGGTACGGCATGCGGCATGTTAATAATGCACCACTACTCTCCAACAACCCAAACATAAAAGTAGAATATCTTGTCAACAGCTTGACCCCCAAAAATAAGGGTGACGAAAATAACACAATTGTGAAATTGCAAAGCTGCTTATTTCTTAAATGTTCTAGAAAACAAATTCCGAAAAAAGTAAACATTTTCCGAAATAATGACTGGAAATCCCACTTAAATGGATCACCTGGTAGTATATATACGTTTCATCGATATACTTCACTTCATTGATTCATTAGTAAATATATTATACAATGATAATGTGTCCCACAAATACTTAAATTGCATTTACTTCAAAGGTAGGGGTGATATTAGGGTTTATTTTTAGAAGGGTTTAGAAAGAATTTTGCCAACTTCCAAGAATAAAATTTGACGACTGGTGTTTTATACCATAATATGCCCCCCAAACACCCCTAGGATCGCCCTTGTTCAAAGGATACCTGTTTACGATGCTACCGGGTGATAAACACAGTAAATGAAAATTATATACTATATTACAATAATAAGAGTTAATTATATATCTTTATATTTAATTCCTTTGTGAAGGTAGCATAATATTATTTGTTTACTTAGTAAAATAGTAGGTACCTATTTAAGTATAGTGCAAAATTTTATAATGCGCACAACCGAATAGTTGCTATCGATAACTACTCGGTTATGGGAAAAACAGTTCATCCAAACTATCGAAAAGCATTTTCGTAAATGCCTATCACACTACAGTAGACCGGAAATGTGTAATAAGCAATAGTTATTATTTTATTAGTGTAATAATCAGTTTTAAACACGGAATTGTTAATGTATTTTTTTTCTTACATTTTAACACTGTCAATTGAATAAGGGGGCTTAATTCCCGAGTATGACACGGAGAAAAGACACGATACAGACGGCAGTGATCATACAAAATAATATAAATAAAAATATGCTCGCTCAGCGAAGTGAACGCCATGACGGACTCGACACCCGGTTAAAAATCGATGGTCGTCCAGATTATATCGTAAGTATTTATATTTATATAATCGTTTCCTAACAAAAAAAAAAATTAAATATAATTACGACTTCGGTAATGAACATAATATTATAAAAGTAATAATTTACCCAGTTTACGATTTACAGCTATATCTAATTACCTATTCGATGGGTTCGTTCGGGAGTGCTGATTGCTTGTTTTGTTTTTCTATACATTTTCATTTTTTTTTTCTATTGAAGTTTATAATTATATTATTTAAGAACTATACCATTTATATACAATGAGTGTATAATATACATTCAATAATTATATAATACTTAATAATTATTGTAACTTACCACGTATACCTAGGTGGGTGAGTATTTACTTAGTGGCAATACGAATATAATGCGTTGATATTATTGTAATTTGTGAACCCGAGTGACATAAAAAAAAGAAAACAAAACAAAACAAAAAACCACAATAAATATTCATTGTATATTTGTTGAGTAATATTTGTTTCCATAAATCGAATGCATACATATACATCGTTATTTTTTATGATGATTAAACAAAGTAGGGACATCATATTTAAACTAGTGCTGCAGTACAGTAATGTAAACCCGGCACGAGTTCACCTATACACGAATATTTTATTTGTTTCGTTTCAATAATTTATTTTCGTTTGTGCGTACGGATATGGTGATATAGGTATATATAGATACGTATGCAAACGGATGCGAATATATTCTATACCTTCAGTATTAATTCGAAACGAGTTTCACCGTGCCAAAAAAAAAATTAAAAACAATATAAAAAAATAGCTAAATATGCATAAAAAATGGGGAAAATTAGCGTGATTATGTTTATATGTATATATAATTATGATTTTCTTCAAAATTTGATGCTAATAAATTATTATAAAACAAATCCTACATTACACTCAATTTTTTTATTTTAACACAAAGTGCGATTTATAATGAACTTTCTATTACATTTTCAAGCATTTCTTTTTGATCTAAAAATTGTATCCACTGAGTATCTACTGAATAAAAAAAACGTAAATAACTCGCAAAATTAAAATGTCTATAAATAGCTCAAAATGTTTTAAATATCTTACTATATCTAAAAAAGGCAAATATAAGTTTTCTGTTCAAATTTCAGGTTTCTATAAATATTTGTAACTGAATCACAACAAAATACAAAATTCAAAATAATACATGTACATTTTTCCGTTGTTCTTACTCTTTCCCCCGATTTTTCCAAATTATTATAAAAATCACTTGAAAAATCAAAAAGTAACTTTCTTCGTAATTATCTTGATCTAAAATTCAACAAAAAAGGTCTCTAAACATTTTTTGATTAAAGGAGTATTTTTGGTAAGAAACATACTTTGCAAATATTTTAAACAATGAAATCGGTGACATCGTGGTGTACCGTAAATATTTGCCGGTTTACCTATAATTTTTTTCTGGTTTTTCCCAATTGTTATGAAAATCCCTTGGAAAATCAAAAAATGACATCCCAATATACCAACTAGAAATTTCAAATAGTTTCACTGGACATTTTAAAACAATTTTCAAAAATATACTTAAAATATTAAAATTACAATGAATGAGTGTAACAGAAGATGAGAATGTTTAGGTTAAGTGAGTGACGAGAAAAAAAGAAGATAATTAATGACAATTTTTGAAAAAAATGTATACTAAAATCTGAATATGTTCTTGTGTACAAATGAGGTATAGTGAAAAACTGTAATAACATCATATAATATTATGATTTGAAATGCTATACAATCAAAAGCACGCGAAATCATAAACATTCTTATTTTATCTCATTAGAATTAATATTACATACATCAGTCTTATATTATAGACTCAGTCGTCGTCGAATATTTTGGGCTGGCGGTCGAAACCGTCGTCTCATAGCTTATAGCATAGCAGCTCTTTTCGGTATATTATTATTTTATTATATTTGTAGGTTAGTTTTTTTTTTTTTTGGGCGGGGTCCAGTTGTGGTTTAGACAGTATAATATGGGTATATTACTGTATAGATAGACGATACTATACCCCCAGCAGATCTCCCCTCGTATGCCTATATAATATTTAATAAACACACCGTAGTGAAGTATATTGCTCGTGTCCACATCCGTACACACAAAACAACGAGCAGGCGATTGTATATAAAAGAGAATTCTTTGCGCATACTGCTGCAGCAAATCGATCTCTCGTCTCGAATATACATATACAGAGTAATCAGAATTTAATGTTACTGCAATTTTCACGTATAAATAATATGCAAAATAGTTAGAAAAATGTGTAATGAATATGTTATGTAATCTAAAATCACATTTCGACTCAATTTTTTTTTTTGGGGAGGGGTAGAAAGGGGGATTTCGGGGGTTGACT